TCAACCCCTAAACCCAAAGCCCTCAACCCTATAAACCCTAAGCTTTCCTAAACCCTATACTCCAAACTGCCCCTAAACCTTATCAACCCCTAAACCTACACCCTAAACCCTAAACCCTAAACCCTAAACCCTATAAAACCCCTAAGCTTTCAGGCCATTCGCCTCGGTAGCTGCCTGAAGCTCACCGACTTGCCCCTCGTCGTCGAAGGGCTCAGAAGGTTTAGGCTTTAGGGGTTTAGGGGTGTAGGATCTTAGGGGTGTAGGGTTTAGGGTTTAGGGTTTAGGGTTTAGGGTTTAGGGTTTAGGGTTTAGGGTTTAGGGTTTGGGTTGTAGGGTGTGGGGTTTGGGTTGTAGGGTGTAGGGTTTAGGGCGCCGTAGTAGGGGTCCGCATTATAGGTTTGAGAGGGACGAAAAGGTTGTTCCACAGGTACGTGTAAATGTGAGGGTGTAGGGTTTGGTGGTTCTAGCTCTTCTTAGGCTTGGCAAAAGGTTCATATCGGGCCCACTTCCTTTCGGAGTCTGAACCTTGAAGGCTTCTCGAAGCTAGTATGCAGTTCTCGGATGGCGGCTCGTAGCAACACTCAGACAAGTTGACGAGTCGGCATCACCCCGTTTTCCATCACCCCCCCATCCGGGAGCCAAGCTGCTTTATTTTTTGTGGCGTATTGGGAAGAAGACCTACTTTGACCCAAGTTCGGTGGGACCTGAATCGGTTGGGTTGCGCAGAGCTGTGGATGCTAGCTTGCGCAGCCTCGGCATAGGCTTCGTTGTTGTTGAAGCCTCTGTTTCTTCTTTCCACGGCCCTCTAAGCCCTAAGACATTGAGCCAGCACCTGCAAGGAAGCCCTTGGCGTCATTGACGAAGCTGAGTGCCGTCGCCTGGACAGCACAGCAGCAGATGGGCAAGTAGCCTTGAATTGTTCTTTGTGACAAATTGAGCATCTTCTACTATTTGGGCCTGGGTCTTGGATCAGTTGTAGGCATGTATCTGGAAGTGAAGTCATGCTGTCGATCCTGTGCTCCGGGCTGCGGGGTTCCCGACACCCCAACCATCCTTGACTCGTACTCTGCAGTTGGAAATCCCACTGATAGTTCTTTCCTGTGCTGCGTACGATGTTCAGTGCCCTCAACCGAGGCTATCTCATTCAAATGTTGGTAGGTCATTATTTTGTGGTATGCTCGCGTCAGACCTTTGCTTTTTGGTTTGCTGATGGTGATTTTCGGTGACCCCAATTCCGCTCAACATTGACCCGAAAGCCCGAAGCCTGGAAATGGTGTTTAACCCTAAGTGCAGTGTAAATCCCCAAGCCCGTACACCGCCAAGCCCCGAAGCGCTAAACCCTAAACCCTCAACCCTAAACCCTCCACCCTAAACCCTAAACCCTAAACCCTCCTTATTATTCAGACCCAGCTAAGGTTGACTTGAGCGGCTGCGTGGCTCTGTCGGACCGGGCTACAGGGGGCCTCGAGATGTGAGGGCTCTAAATTCAAGGATCCCCAAAAGGACTTGACAACTAGGGCTTAGGGCTTAGGGTTTTGCGGCTTTGGGCTTAGGGCTTAGAGTCTTGGGGTTCCGGGCTTACCTAGAGCCTCTAATGCCCTCTACTATACCTTAAATACCAACTATTAAGGACAGCAAAGGGCTCCATTAAATTATGTGCTTATATGGCCTTAGGGTTTAAGGCTCCAGTAGGTACTTGAGTATCGGAAACTGACTAGTTGTGTAGGTTAGACTTTGAGAGAGTATATGATTAGTACCCTAAGGCTTGGGGTTGCAGATTTCGTGTTGCGGGGGCTGTAGGCCGGCTCGGGGCTTTAGAGTTTAGGGTTGTCGGGTGTTAGTTTTTAGGGTGTTTGTTTCAGGGTCAGGGTTTAGAATTCCAGGGTTTCGGCTTCTGCAAAACATGGGACAGCCCCGCACATCGAAACACTGTACGGCCGCACCCTAAACCCTAAACATCGAGACACGGGGTCTTGGCGAATGCGCGCCTGCTCCACTCAGCACCTGGCCTTCCTGGAACACGCTTCTTCGAGGAGCGGCCTGGAGTAATATAGAAGCCTAAATATTTACCTATACTATTTTTTTAGGGGGGGTTCTTATTATGATTATAGTGTAATGGGCCCCAAAACCCTATTCCAATTATTAAGGCCTCTATATGATATCTTCATCGTGAAGCCAACAAACATCTCGCAGAGAACTGCTCCTCACACACGCGGTATGGCCCAAAGTTGGTTTGCCTCCGAGCCTGCTTCCAGGTCCGCCACGACCCCGGAGCCAGTCAAACGGCTGGAAAGAAAAGTAAATCAAGTTACCCAGTAAAAATACGACAGCGTCCAGATGGTTGCTCTCCGCCTCCGGATAGCGACGAAGGCAACGCCGACTCCTCAGAGAGCGGGTATCGGAGCTAGAGCTCCCAGTCCGGGCATCTCTGGATTCTTTCTGGACAAGGAGTCTAGAGTACCTCAACTATTTTCGGAGACCCTGAGGGTCCATGTTCCCATGAAGTATCTATGTTCCCCTACAGTTGCGAGCACATAGCAGTTTATGAGGCTTATGGATATGCTGTTTATAGGTTCATTGGCCGTGGGGGAACCCCACCTTAGCATCAAGTGTTCTACGATTCAACAACCGCCATTATCCATGCACCTAAGAACAAGCTGTACCAAGACCGCCCAAGTACCCTTTAGTAAAGCCTTATGGTCCTGTGATCGTGTGTATTTAGGGTAAATATTAGAGGGCAGCTGGGGGGTCTAGGTATGGCTCACCGTTTAAAGCGCTGAGGCATCCCAAGAACACTGTCTGACCCCAGCCAACAAACACTCCTGGACCCCAGAGCATGGACCCAGACCCCAGCACCCGCTTCCCAAGCACTAATCCCTGAACCCAAGTTTTCGGGGCCAGTTAATTCAGGTTCATTTCAGGGCTTTAAACATGCGGTTTCAATCTCTGAAGATTCAATGCCCTGAACCCCAGGGCCTATGGATAATCCCGGGGCAATCAAAGTACTGAGCCCCTCAAGCCTTGAGCCGCTGAAGGCCTTGAGCCATACAAGACTCGCAACAGCCACCCGCTAACCCCCACCCTTTGCCCGAAATGCGTTGACCCCAAGGCATCAGAGCCCTACGACAGAACCTCTATGAAATCATGCAGAACTTTCGTATACCCTCTCCAACATCCCTATAAAACCTGATGACCAGCCCCGTAAGATGGCCCCCCGGAACCCTAAGCCCCGTTTCAAAAGCTCTCCCAAGTACTAACCCACATACCTAATTTCCAAAGCTCAGGCACCTAATTCTCAGGTCCTTTAGGGGCTCCTGGGGTGAACCCCTAAACCCTAAAGCTAAATCCTAAACCCCTAAACCCTAAACCCTAAACCCCTAAACCCTACTAGTAACACCCTAAGCCCTAAACCCCTAAACCGTGGTGAAATTGTTCAGAGGACGCCGGGCCGCTTCTTGCTGGTGGCTATGAGCCTCCGCCAAACCCGATGCATGATGCTCCCCGGCATGTGGGCAGTTCTCTAAAATAGGGTCCCTTTTTAGGTCCCCAATATAGTACGGCACCCTTATAAATAGGAGCCCAAAAAGGAACCCTAATTTAGAGAACTACCCATGTCGAAAGCTTCCATGCAGGCTTCCTTTTCGTAGGTTTAGGGTTGAGGGTTTATGGTGTACGCTTCTATTAGTCTATGCTTGTTTCCTTATGAAGGGCTCTTCGGGGTTTTCTCTATGTAAACAATCCGCGCGCTTGTTTTGTAAGGAATTCATAATCAAGTTGCGCTTTGAATATAACGGCTCCTTATGTTGATTTTGGGATTCCGAGTCAGTTATTGAAGGACCCTATATCTTGGTGTTCCCCTCCGAGATCAGGTTTCGTTGGCATAGCAATAATATAGGGCCCGAAATATTTACCTATACCATGTTGGGGGTTCCTTCGTATAACTATGGTATAATGGGGTTATTCAGGCCCCTACATTGGTACAGACCCATTTGAAACCCAGGAGCTTAGCAGAACGACCAAGTTTCATTGAGGGTCGAGTGGGTTTTAGATATGACTGGCCCTAATCCGAACGCCTAAAACCCTTTCAAGAGTCAGGCGGACCCTGCAAGCCCTTTCGTGAGCCCTATAAGCCCTAGACCCTAAGCCTAAATCCTTAACCCTATAAGCCCTAAACCCAAAAACCTGTAAACCCCAAACCCAAAAGAGCCCTACCGCCAGACGAAAAGCCGCAGCCCTAGGCTTAAGCAAAAGACCAAAAGCCGTAACCCCGGCCTCCATTGTAGTTCCTTGTTTGGAGTACTTTATGTTGCTTTACCGGGCTGGTTAAAGCAACAATAGGAACTACAATCGATACCCAGGTAAACTGAGCCCCCAAACCCAAAGCTGTAACCCTAGACTAAAACCCCTAAACCTTAAGCCCTAAACCCTAAACCCATAAACCTTAAAACCCATAAACCTTAAGCCCTAAGTAAGCCCTTTGAAACACTCGCCAATCTCATCTTCAGGTTCTGGCTGGCCAGGATGTGCCGGAGGCTTCATCACAGGCCTCGACGGCGAAGTTTTGGGTTTAGGGCTTTAGGGTTTTAGGGTTTTAGGGTTTAGGGTTTAGGGTTTAGGTTTTAGGGTTTAGGGTTTAGGGTTTAGGGTTTAGGGTTTAGGGTTTAGGGTGGTGGGTGTAAGGCTTTTTCAAGGACCACGCGACCCTTAAGAGGAGGGCCCCCTAGACCAGTTGAACCTGAATGCTTTCAAAGTATCTGTAAAGGTAAGGCCCGTATACCCTTAATATGGTAGTTGAACCGTAACCTAAACCCTAGACCCTAAACCCTAAACCCTAAACCCTAAACCCTAAACCCAAGCCCTTGTAGGGTAAATATTGTCCTCGAGATATGGAGCTTCAGGGATTTCAGAGGCTCGAGGGTTGGGGGAGATCTAAGATTCTTGCAGATTTAGGGGGTTTTACAGGGTATCTACAGGGCTTTATGGTTTAGTTGTTCAGGGTTTCGGGCTTGGGCTTTAGCGCTGCAGGGGGGATTTCAGGATTTGGGTTTGTATTGAGCTTCATGGGCTGGAATGCTGGCGAGCTTCAGGGTTTGGTTCTGGGGCTTCCTGGAATCAGCGCTTCGGGGGTTAAATGTTTATTGGCTTATCGGCTATGAGATGACCCCTAAACCCTAAACCTGATTTAACACCCTTCGAGCCCCGAGACCTCAAGACTAATCTCCTGGACCCTGAAAGCCTCCAAGCGAGTGGTCGAAGCATCTGGGCATGGTAGCTTGTCAGGGCTTGGAGTCTATCCACAAGACCCCCTAAACCCTAAACCGGACTGAAGATCTGAGCCTCCGGTACCTAAGCCTTCTGCCCTTCGGGTGTAGGGTTTAGGGCCCTGTGGAGATGGGGTTTCTTAAGGTTCCGGGACTCACCCCATAAACCTTAATCGGGCCCCTAGAGGACTTTCAATATTCTAGCAGCTGGGTTTAGGATCTAGGGTTCAGGGGTTTAGGGTTTAGGGCATAATAGCATAATAGCATAATCTAACCCCAAGCCCTCGTCTGATTATTCAAGGCCCGTATCCCCAAACACTTCAAGAAGCATCGAATAGGAGTTTCGCAGTAGGGGACTCGACGATAGAGCCCTACATGATAGCCCCCTTGTTGAAAGCAGCCGAACTAAGCTGTCTGGTGCTTTGTAGGGAATGGGGGAATGGGGTAGTAGTGACTACTACAGGGGACCTTAAGGGACTATCATAGGGATCCATTCCCCCATTCCTTACTAAGCACCAGACAGACTAAGGCGTGAGTTTGCTGAAACTTTCAAGTTGCGGAAAAATGATTCGAAACCCTTTCATTGGGGCTTTAAGGCCTTTAGGGCTTGCGGGTTTAGGATGCTTTGGGGACTTAAGGAAATATGCTGACCAATCTTCATATCCGACGCAACCGAGTTTTAGACATGTCATGGAGATCTCTCCCTTCTTCGTTTTGCACCAGCTGCCGCGAATGTGCCGCACTTTCTGTTGACAAGACCTTTGTTCCGATTTTTTGGAGGACTTGAACTTGGCATTCCCAGGGCAGGAATGAGGGTGCAGGGTTTTGTGTTTGGCATTGGAGATTCAGAGTTAAACAAGCCATCGCCGAAGTTGCTATGATGGAGATGTCGTTGTTGAGTTGATTGGTGAAGAGACGGCATAAACCGTGACAGCTTCCCCACTGCGCACTCTACAGGGTTCTGGCTCTGTGTTTAGATGCTGTCGCTGTGTGCAACTATGCCATTTGACCCAAGCAAGCCGTCAGGGCTTGCGGGCTAGCGGTCTCAAAAATCAAAAGTCAGGAAGTACTTCATCAAGACCTCGATCCAGATTCAGTGTGGTGTTCGGGGTCGCGAGGTTTTGGATCCAGATTCATGAAAGCGTGTGAAAACAGCATGCTTCACAGTGCAGCACTGAAACTTGTTGTTTCATGTTAAGGCAGCAACGACTTGGCACAAGTTCAGTTTCGTGTTTATGTGCGTTGTCGACTATGCGTGTTTAACGCTACCGTGAGCCAGATCTTTCCGTTCACATGTTGGTTGGGAGCTGACTCTCGTTACCACGGGAACATGCTATGCAAATCAATGTTGATCGTTCACAATACACGGTAATTAGGCGCAGCGTTTCTGTCCAAGACATTTGCTGCCGTTGAAAACGCGTGTTGCCGCAAAACTGGCATGCCGGCTACTATTGTTTTTAATACTGCTATTGTCGCTGTTGGCACTACTGCTTCCCCAACTATTGGCAGGACTGTTTCCCCCGACGTTACTACGTCTGCTGCAGCTGCTACTATTATTGCTATTACCACTTCTCGGTCCTAGCATTAGTACCACTGCTGCTGCTACTACTACTACTACTACTACTACTACTACTATCCTTAACCTTTTGCTACGGTCCAGATCCACGGGGCTTAGTTCAACAGTGCTTTTTACATCTGAGGCCAAAATACGGACTTGGCAAAAGTTGTGCTTATTTGACTTGTTTTGCTTCTTGGTCTTTATTTGCTTTTATCATATACTACTACTACTACTACTACTACTACTACTACTACTACTACTATTACTGCCGCCGCGACAACGTATACTACCGCCACTACCGTTGCCACTACTTCGGTGCCACCGGCTGGTAAACGGAAACAGGAGTTGAACACATAGTGGCTGTGGCAGCTGCTTGGTCGGAGCTGTTGTATGCAACATTCGATGTTGAACCTCGTTTCTTTTCGCCAGGTGTCACCGAATGTTCCAGCAAAGCCGGCCGACTTGCCAACAAGTCCGGGAGGTCGCTCGGGTGCATTAACCAAAAGCGTTCCAACAAAATGTTTCGAAGTTGACACACTCGGTGCTTTCGGGATTTAAACAGTTCTGGTGATTTCGTTTAACGAGTATTTTTGCAAAGCTGCGGATTTATACTTTACAACAGGAACACTGACCTTTGGACCTTGGAATGCGGTTGGGGGCTCAAACGTTCAAATCCATTGACGAAACCACAAAGCCCCCCCATCCCTAAACTTCTTCACAACATCTTGCAGCCAAAACGTTATGAAGCCCTACTCAACGCCCTTTTAAACCCCTGAGCCCCCAAGCTCCGCAGCCCTATCAAGCCCCAACTCCTCCTTGTCAGGGCCGAAGGTTCCGCCGCCTGGCCCGATCCCGGGGATGCCAGCAGCTTCCCTGCCTGGCAAGAAGGTCGGGCTTTCTGCGCTTTCAAGACCACAAGGGTTCTTCTGGGGTATATATATATATGTATATATATATATATAGGGCTTGCGTTTGTAGATTTAGGGCTTATGGTCTTGGGTTTGAGCGGTTGTTAATTCGCCAAGTGATGTTAAGATGAGCTTTATGGTGGTACTGTATCTATGTTACTATCAAGCATTGGGCGTGATCCTGGAGTACTGTTTTAAGCTGAGGAGCATTATCAGGTTTCCACAAGTTTCAATAGTGTTGGATTTTGAAACCTTCATTTTCGGTCCTTGTGGGTTTTTGGCGTACAGATTCGGGTTTTGGGGATTCGGGGTTAAGCCACCCCGGACCAGATTTCTAAGAGTCATTATCGAAAATGGCGGCATGCAGTGGCCAGGTAGCGGGAACAGCAGGAATATCCCTTAAGCCTAAACCCAAAAGCCTGAGACCCTTGCAGGAAATCAGGCCTAGCTTTTTCACACCCTCGACTTCCCCAGACGAGCCTCGGCATTGTGGCAAGGCGAAGAAGGAGCCCGGCACCACGGCCGAGGGAATCTCGGCCCGACTTCTCTTTTTTTGGACGTGCAGGGTTTTGGGTTTAAGGTTTGATTTCGGTTTAGGGCGTAAGGGTCAGGGTTTAGGGTTTATGTTTTTGGTAGGTTTTTCTGGGTGCCTAAGTTCTCACTCAAAAGTTAGTCAAGACCGTCATTGAGTGGAACCATTGCGGTACCCATGTGGGACCCTGTTGGAAACGCCCAAACCCCAAACCTAAACTGCTCATAGATCTGTTCTTGTACCCTTCATAGATCTCTTGTAGAGCCCTTCAACTCATAGATCTCCTTTAGAACGCTTAAGGGCTCACAAGAACCCACAACCCTAAACCCGAAGCACCCTAAACCCTAAACCCTAAACTAAACCCTAAACCCTAAACTAAACCTTAAACTAAACCCTAAACCCTAAACCCTAAACCCTAGACCCTAAACTAAACCCTAAACCCTAAACCGCTGAGGACTTCCAGTGAAGCCTTCGGCACCTGCGACCTCAGCTCCGGAAGCTCCCGGGGCCAAGGGCTTAGGGACGGATCCGCGGGCGTCCCGACATGCGAGGGGGGGGTTTAGGGTTTAGGGTTTAGGGGGCCTTCAAGACTTTAAGGGTTCTAGAAGGATTTATAAGAAGAGTTAGTATCACTTTAAGTAAGTTACTAGGGAGGAGCCCATCATATACAAAACGTCTAGAGAACGGCTCTAGAATATGAGTATGATTATGAGGGTTCTACGCTGGTCTGGGGGTTCGGGTTGGGGGTTTTGGGACGGGGGCTTCAGAAATTCGGGCTGTGGCCGTTTTTGTTCAGGGGTGTAGGGTCTTGGGTTGAGGCTGAGGGTTTTGGGGTTTGGGGCTTTAGGAATCATGAGGACTTTCGGGGTTCATGCTGTTGGGGCGCAGGCCTGTAATGGTTTGGGGCTTGCGGTCCTGTGGGAACCTGGGAACCTGGCCAAAAAGCCTAGCTTGTTTCTTAATGGGCCGTGTCTTAGTGTGGTCTCCATGCTATTGCGGATAAATCAAAAGTCTAAAGAAGTGGGTGCCTGCTCACATCTGACTTTTGCCCCTCGACTGCACGAGACTTCCTTCCTGATGCTGCAAAATTAGCAATAGTGGCCCCGCTTATGGTCCCCCTGTATCCCCTCCCCTATATCTACCGATCCATCTATCTAGCAGTTGCTGAGCCCTGAACGAGAGGCTCTTGATGATTCCCATCTATCTAACTATTTATCTGATCTTTTTCTATCTTTACTCTGATATACCATTCGACCTTCTTCCAGTCGTTAATGCCCTTATACTAGATCAATTGTGTGGTCCTGCATATTTTCGGGGCCTCTACGTAGGTCCCAAGGGTGCAGAACTTCAAGAACTACACAAATCCACGCTTTCGGTGTTCAGGGTCTCTAAACTCTCAACTCTAGACCATGAAAGGCGCAGGAACACCGAGGATAGTCCAGATTGGAATTCCTAGCAACCACAGAGCCTACAGCATCTTCAAGGCCGTATATCACCCCCGAAAGCCAACCGCCCACACCCATCTGACCCTCCCCCCCCTGCCCGCCCAAACTAAGCCCCAAACCCCAAACCCTAAACCAAACCTCTATGACATGTTTAGCCAGCACCCCCATACCCTAAATACCCACTATTAATTCTATAAGGGCTCTGTCAAGGGGTACTTGGGAGGTGCTGGATAGCACCCTTCTTCAATCCCCCAAAGCCCCCCAAGCCGAGGAATTTCGTCATCGCGGCTTGTGGCCCAAGGAGGTCCTGGCACTGGGAAATCCAACCCTCCGACCCTGGGCCAGCACAACATAGAAGCTTGAGGAATTAATTGGTAACCCTATGCCTCATTATTATCATTAGGACATGATATATATATATATATATATATATATTATATGTACACATATTTATTTTTATGTTTATATACCCTGTTCTGAATTATGGTTGCGGTATTACATTCCCCAAGCCCTTGTTCTAACTACGACGGCCTCCACATTGTAGAGGTGCAGGGCTTGCTGTTCCGGGGTTAGAGGTTAGAGCCTGGAGTACGAGTGGTGGATCAGAACGATGAGTTTGGGCGGGGGCGAAAATCTCATAGCTCATGTCTTGCTAGGCTCGTAGGGTGCCGGGTCCTCAATGTGGACACCAAGTTAAGCTTCTGAATGAATCCCGCTGTCGCAAACTCATTGCGATTCGGATCGATCGGTGACGGCCCTGGGAAATTCCTGGGGGCCCCTGGAAGGAGTTCACACTTGGCTGCTGAGACTGATGGTCTGTTCCGTTCACTAAAGACCGCCCCCAAACCTTGAACCCTGAATCCGACAGCGCCAGCGGGAAGACCCCCTCCCGCCCCCGCCACCGTCAACAGGTTTGCACAACTTTCAGACAAGACTGCGCAGAAAAAAGACAGTGGGGCTTTTGCCGTCAGTTCGCGCAACTGGCCATAAACCGTTTTATCCATGAGCTCACCACTCTCAAGCCCTACAGGCCGCACACCCCGATCCCTAAACTCCTATATCCCCACACGATGAGAGACCGTCAAAAAACCCGAAACCGCCTAAACGCAGCCGAGGATGGCTGAGCTTAAGCGGCTGTCGTGCGCTGCGGAAGGGGCTGGCCCGCCTCCGCCGCTGCCAGGCGGTGTCTTTTGGGGGTTGTGGGGGTCTTCTAGGGGTTTAGGGTTTAGGGCTTCTAGGGGTTTAGGGCTTAGGGCTTCTAGGGGTTTAGGGGTTTAGGATTCCTATGACATTTTCAGGTGTGTAGTTACCGCTATAGGAGCCTTACAAAAGGTCTATATACCTTATGGAAGCCCTATATACCCTAAGCTCTCCACCTGTAGTTTCCTTTAATCTAGGGGTTTAGGGTTTAGGGCTCAGGGGTTTAGGGTTTTAGAATTTAGGATTTTAGGGTTTAGGGTTTAGGGTATAGGGTAAGGGTACTATGAGGGTTACTATATGGGCGGTCCTCTAAATTAGGATCCCTATTTAGGTCCCCCAAATCGTACGGCACCCTCATAATAGGACCGTAAAAGGTACCCCAATTTACGCATGTACTACCAAGGCTACGAGTACTTTATAGGAACCCGCCAAAAGGGACCTGCCTTGTAGATCCTCTCCGATCTCTTGGTAGAAGGCTTGTTTATGGGCTCAATCGCGGTACTACACGCGCGCTTGTGAGTCTTGGAGTTTTGGGTTTTATGTTAAACGTTTTGGGGTCGGGTTGAGGGTTTAGGGGTTAACGGTAGTGTTGGTTTTCAGAGACGAGGCAACTGGATCATTGGCTTCACAAATGGCTGTACAGACCCTCAAAAAACCGATTCGGGGGTTTCCGAAAATAGGGGACCCTGATATAGTACCCTAAATAGTAAGATCCTTTTTATAGGGACGCCAAAATGAAGTACCCTAATTTTATGAAACTCCCATTTAGGTTTCCAGGTGGGCTTAGGGAGGGTTGGAAGGGGTACGGGGTCACGGTTCTCTGTTCTCGAAACGCACCGGAAACTGTAAGCCCTGTAAGCCCATGAAAACCCAATGGAACCTTTCATAAAAACGAAGAAACCCGTCTACAGCCCTTCAAATCCTGCTAAAATCTACGACCCCAAGCCATCTTAAACCGTATAAAGATTCTCTAGAGCCATTGGGAAGCCATACTTAAAAGTAGAGAACTTTTCTATAGAAACCCTATGAACCCTTATTAAAAGAAAAACGATGGAACCCCACGCGGCCTTTCGAACCTCTGCAAACCCTTCCTTATAAAAATCGAAAACCCTGAACCACAAAAAAAGAACCTGAAGCCTTCCCTATAACCTCCCGGCATAGAAACCCTAATCTAAAGGAAACCACAGGTGGGGAGTTTGGGGACTAAAGGAGGGACCCTTAAAGGGACCCTTGGCACTAGGGTTTAGGGTTTAGGGTTGGGGTTTATGGTTTAGGGTTTAGGGTTGAGGGTGTAGGGATTAGGGTTTAGGGTTTAGGGTTTAGGGTTTAGGGTTAGGTGGGGAGTTTCGGGTATGTAGGGCTTCTATAAGGCTTCCATAAGGTATATAGACCTTTTTTTTAGGCTCCTTTCGCGGTTACTACCCACCTGACAATGTCCTAGACTAATTGACAACCTTTCCTTCAAAGCATAAGAACCATCAAACCCTCAATCCCAAACCCTACACCTCTAAAGCCTAAACCGGTAAAGCCTCGACCCCTAAACCCCCAAACGCCCTAAACCCTAAACCAGTGAACCCTAAACTCTAATTGAGAATGGCTGGAGTGGTTGGGGGCGGGACTACATGCTGACGAAAGCGCACGATAAGTGGGTACGCCACTATTCCTAAAGTAACAGGCCACCCAAAGCGCGCACACTGTATACCCATCCTAAACCCTAAACCCTAAACCCCAGTCCCTAAACCCCAAACCCCTAAAACCTAAACCCTAAACCCTAAAACCCTAAACCCAAGACCTCCCTAAACCCTAAACCCTAAACCCTGAACCCTAAGCCCCAAACCCTAAGCCGCCTCGCAGACCGACTCCGTGGTGGCCCCGGCCAGGGAAAAGAAGCGGCCAGCAGCGCAGCCGCGGCAGAGCCCGGCGCCCTCTTCGCCCATCCTCGGCGTCCGTCTTTCGGGTTTGTGGGTTTAGGGTTTAGGCTTTAGGGTTTAGGGTTTAGGGGGTTAGGGTTTAGGGTTTAAGGTTCAGGGTTTAGGGTTTAGGATTCAGAGTTTAGGGTTTAGAAGTTAGGGTTTAGGGTTAGGGCTTAGGGTGCAGTTTTATGGAGGTTCGTCGCGGTTTGTCTTGGGGGCTCGTTGTTTGAAAAGGGGGCGAAGGGGGGAGTCTAGGATTCTTGTATGTTTGTAGGGGTGTTAACAGGGAGAGTTAACTTCAGTCGAAGAATTTATGCATATCAGGTCATGGGATTTGAGTTTAGGGTTTAGGGTTTAGGGTCTAGTCTAGGATTCTGATGACAGGTCGAGCAAGCAGTGTGAAGCTTCAGGGATCTATGTTCAGAACTCCCGCCCCTAGAACCCGAAACCCCCAAACCCTGAACCTGCAGCTTAGGGTTTAGAGTTTAGGGCTTAGACACTAAACCCTCAAACCCTACCATCTAAAACAGCGAAGCCCCAACACCCCAAACTCTAATGCAAGCCCAGACCTTATCATATCTGCCCTAAACCCTAAACCCTAAACCCTAAACCCCAGAACAGCGAAGACAGCTTAAGGCCAGGGCACCAGCGCCCGGGAGGGCAGAGCAAACAGCTGTCGGCCTCACTTTGGAGAAGACTAGGGTTTAGGGGTTTAGGGGTTAAAGGTTTAGGGTTTAGGGTTTAGGGGTTTAGGGGTTTAGGGTTTAGGTTAACTGTTTAGGGTTTAGGGTTTAGGGTTTAGGGTTTAGGGTTTAGGGTTTAGGGTCGAACAGGGCTGTCAACGGCTTCACTCAGCATTGCTTCTCACTGGGGTGTAGGCTTCCGAGCTTCAAGTTTGGAGCATTAGGACCTTGGACTTTGAGGGCGTAGGGCTTGGGTTTGGAATTTAGGGTTAAGTAAAATTTATAAACCCAGAATCCCTTGAAGCAGAAATCTAGCAGACCTGGCTTCCAGTAACCACATCATGGTTAGCGAGATTTGGGCCCTAAACCCTAAACCCTAAACCCTAAACCCTAAACCCTAAACCCTAAACCGTGGCTTCTGGGTTCTCCTGGATCTTTAAGTGGGAATGCGAGTTTCCGAAAAATCAGGGATGTCTTATTTTGGTGTCCTTATAATAAGGATCCTACTATTTAGGGTACCATACTAGGGTCCCCTATTTTCGGAAACCCCTACATTGCGAAATCCCACACCAAGCTGAGGGTTGCAGTGTCGGGGTTTTGTATTTTGGACGTGAACTGCCAGCACGATTGGGCTTGACAGCTCGTGCGTTTTATAGTGCTTCAGAATTTCGTCTGAAGTCAACAATCCCAAGTTCAGATTTGCGGAATTTCGGGTTGAGTTCAACGCTTCGCTTTTCCATTCAATAGCGAAGCTTCAACACAGAGGGAACCCGACAGGATCGGCGTTAATAGGGCTTCGAAAGAAGGATCCTAATTTTTCTGGACCCCCTTACATGGTCAATCACTTTTGATTACAGCACCTGTGTGCAGTTCTAACTGAAAGCAACAAATTCTGCAGACCCGCTAACAGCCTATATACACCATGTACTAAGCCACCTATCTTAACAAACACCTATAACTTCCTACTTTGCTGACGGTGGCACGTAGGGCTTGGAAGGTGGAGGTCATGGCGTGCTTGGAGGATCAAAACACCTAGACCTAGCAAGTATGTCAGCGCTGGGATAAAGCACTTGGTATAAAATCCATTGGGCGGCACAATCGCGATCGAAACACCTGCTGCTACCATTAAACTTACCGCAACCAATCCTACACAAAAACTACAAGCCAATCCTAAACATGCTTTGTCAAATTACAAAAGAGCTGCTGAATGCGCACACAGCTTGCAATGACATGACGAATGCACGAACTTGCTCTCCAACATCCTAATGAAGCAAAAAGCTCAACACATTGTCTTAATGCCCCTAAACCCTAAACCCTAAACCCTAAACCCTAAACCCTAAACCCCAAAACCCTAAACCCTAAACCCTAAACCCTAAACTCCGGAACCC